CCACCCGGCGAGGCCCGCAGCGCCCTCTCCTCGTCCCCGCGGACCCTTCTTTGTTCCAATTGCACCCTTGCTGAGCCTGGAGGCGGGCCCTGCCTCTCCTCTCCATCGGGACCCCCTGAGTCGGCCCCCTGTGCACCCCCACTTCGCCCCTACCCTCCCGCGTTAGCGTGGCCCCCTCTGCCAAGCCAGGCCTGGACCGGACCACCCCCTCCTGCATCCCGACTCTTCAGCTCGCCTCTTGCCCCATAGCTGCCCTTCTCCCAGATCAAGGCCCCTCCATTTGGAATCCCCCCGCCCAGGCGGGTGGCGGAGGCCCTGGGCGCCCTCCCCTCTAAATGACCATTTACCCTCCATATTACTTAGCATCACCCCTCTGCCAAGCCAGGCCTGGTCCAGACCACGCAATCCTCCCTGTGGCCCCCATTAACAGTGCCGCTGTGGGTCGGTCTCCTTCAGGCCCTCTGGAGCCTTCCTGAGTGCAGTGGGGGGCCCTGGGCAGCTTCCCCCTTCTGTCCCCTGGCAGCTGCTCCTCTCTGGGATGGCTCCCCCCATCGGGGCCCCTCCACCAGCCGGCCCAAGTCGGAGGGCTCAGGGCGGCCTCCCCCACTGCACGCTGCTTAGGCACTCCCATGTCTGTTCCTCTCTTGTGCTTAGGCAGGACCTCTGCCCTCCTTGGCCAGGCGTCCCCTCCAGGCTGTCCCCTGAGCCTGGTCTCGTCTGCCGTCTCACTCCTGAGCTTGCTCTAGCCTATCTGTGCCCGACTGGGGCTGGGCTCCGGTGACCCAGGGGTGGGACCTAAGGGTCTAGGGCTGGTGATGGCACCCAGCCACAGGAAGAAGACCCCATGCCATGCAGCCACCAGAGCCAGGTTCAGATCCTGCCAGCTCAACCCCCTCCCTGCCCGGTGACCTTGAGTCAGTACTTACCCCTTGGTTCCCAGGACCCCCCTGCCCCACCTTACCCTGCATGAGGCTGAACCGGGGTTTCAGGGGTGCAGGGTGGGGGGCCCACCATGGACTTGAGGTTCATTGATGGGGGCTCCTAACCAGAGATCCCAGTGTTCCAGGCCCCAGCGGGAGTCCCTGGAAGACACCCATGCAGACAGAGGCCAGAGTCCTGCCACAGGTTGGGTGGCCAGCAGGAAGTGGCCAGAGCTAGGCAAGGCCACCTGAGGTCCCCAGTCCAGACAGAGCAGGGTCTGGCTGGATCCTCAGAGAGGGCTAGGACTGCAGAGCTAGGAGCCTTGACTCCTCCCCCACCCTCGCAAGCCTCCCTCCAGTACTAACCATTGCTATTCACACAACTGCGGTGCTTAACCTCCAGCTAAGAGGGTTAGGCTCAGAAACCCAAGGAGGGGTCCCTACGAGTCGGTCCGGCTCAATGGCACGTAGTACAACAACAACAACAACAACAAGAGGGTTAGTATTTGTAAAAGCCCTTAGAACTTCGCCTGGCAATTCCTAAGTGGGTTAGATACTGCCAGTTACTTTGTTACACTTATCTCCTCTACACTGGGGCTTTGACAGCTCCAAACATGCCTTCACATCCAAGGACCCGCCAGGCACTTCACACCCTGCATCTTTGGCATTGTGATAATAATTACGACTGTCCATCTTTCCTGTGGAGTCCCTGGGTGTGCAAAGGGGGAATGTGCTCAGCTGCTAACTGGAAGGTTGCAGGTTCAAGTCCACGTAGAGGTGCTTGGAAGAAAGGCCTGACAATCTACTTCCAAAGAAATCAGCCCCTGAAAACCCTCTGCAGCGTCGTTCTACGCTGAGACTCATGGAGTGCCATGAGTTGGGCACAACTCAATGGCTGCTGGTTTGATATTCACCAAGGGCCCTCTGGGTGCCAGGCACCATCCTAAGGGCTTTACCCATGCCATCCTGTTCCTTGTCCCAGCAATGCTATGAAGTAGGTACTGCCATTGCTCCCGTCTCACAAACAAGAAAACTGAAGCTCGGTGACACAAATTTACCTCGCCCAGGCTCACAACATCGAGTCTTGTCCAACTCTGGAGCAGCCCTCTCTCCCCACCTTCCCGTCCCCTCATGCATCTGAGCGAGGTAACTTCCAGGTGTGTGGAAACGTGGAGGCCACGGCAGATAGAAACTGGAGTCTCCTGTCCACTTTACAGAGACCACCAGCTCTTAACTCCCTTGCCACCCAAGCAATGCTCTTCCTCCACGTTAATCATTTCAGGAATCACTGTGCTGTGTGACTGCCTTGGCCACTAGTCCTCTCTGAGCTCAAGAGAGGGAAGAGATGATAAGAGGAGGTCCTCCCTTCCTCCAGGGATTTCTATGTCTACGGATACACCAGACCTGAACAAGGAACAGAGACCCAGGACCTGCCAGCCCAGGCTCTGGGGCCCTTTTGTTGTTGTTGTTGTTGTTATGTGCCGTCGAGTCAAACCCAACTCATAGCGACCCCTCCTTGGGTTTCCGAGGCAGTATGACTATGGAAGTAGGATTGCCCAACCTTCCTTCCGAGGAGTGGCTGGTGGGTTTGAACCGCCAGCGGTCTGGTTAGCAGGCAAGTGTCTTAGCCACTATGCTACCAGAGCTCCCCTGGGGCCCTTTAGTCTGCTGGAATTTCTGTTTCATTTTTGCTTTTGTTTTCTCCTCCCCTGTGTGATTTATGACATCCCAATTCTAAGCAGTGCATTCCTCAAAATTGTGTTTCTTGGACCTCAGCATCAGAGTTATATTGGGGGGCAGGTGTGACTTTAAAATGCAAGTGCTCAGGCCTAACGCCATGGACCACCTGCCTCTATATGTCTGGGGATTGAGGCCCTGGAATTTGCATTTTAAGTGCACCACCACTGTGTTGCTGCAACAAGTTTAAGTCCCTCTGGCTGAGGTCCCTGGTGGCATAAACACTTTGCCCTCGGCTGCTAACTGAAAAGTCAACAGTTTAAACCCACCCGCCAATCCTGGTGATCTGCTACCGTCAAGATGACAGCCAACACAATGCTATGAGGCAGTTCTACTCCGTCTCATGGGGTCACTGTGAGTCGGTATCAACCAGACAACAACCTCATAGGGCACGTCCCTGGGTGGCGCAAACTTGACTGCTAACTGGAAGATTGGCAGTGGGAACCCAGCCGGTGGTGCCTCAGAAAATACCTGGTGGTTTGCTTCTAAAGATGACAGCCGGGTAAAGCCTGGAGAGCAGTTCCACTGTCACTCACGGGATTGCCATGAGTCAGAACCAACTTGATGGCAATGGGTTTGGTTTTGGTTTTGGCTGGGGGAGGAGCCAGGAGCTAGGGGTGGTGGGAAACTTCACTATATTTCATCCACTCTCCCACACTTCTTGGAAGATGGCGGCAGGATTCCTATCGTATAAATGGGAAAAGGGAAGCGAGGGCAGTCAGAGTCAGGCCCACTGGCTCCTGGGAGCCCACGGCCACTCTCAGAAGGGACAGAAGAGGGGCCACAGCCTGGAGGGTCGCTTGCCCTTCTGGTGGCCAGGCAGGAGTTAAGGCAGGTATTTTGCTCTGTTGGGGTTCCTCATGCCTCTTCCAGCCCTGAGTCCTTCGGGAATATTTGAAATTGGGCCCCAGCTTTTTTGGAGGGTGGCAGGCAAAAGGGACTGGCTCTGAGCCTGCCCACACTCTGGGCAGGGCAGAATTGCCAAGTCAGCAAAGCCCACCAGAAGGGCCTTTCCATCCTCCTGGAAAATACCACCTCCTCAGAGAAGCCCTCCTTGCTACCTCGCAGGCCCCTGGCTAAGTGGTGTTTGCTCTGACACTCCTCTCTGTGCAGGGTCGGTCTGGGGTTCTAGCAGCTGGCCCCGCCCCTACGCCCCCCCCCCCAGCCCCCGTGGAAGATGCCGGAGCAAAGCAACGACTACCGCGTGGTGGTGTTTGGGGCGGGCGGCGTGGGCAAGAGCTCACTGGTGCTGCGCTTCGTGAAGGGCACCTTCCGAGACACCTACATCCCCACCATCGAGGACACCTACCGGCAGGTGATCAGCTGCGACAAGAGCGTGTGCACCCTGCAGATCACCGACACCACGGGCAGCCACCAGTTCCCGGCCATGCAGCGCCTGTCCATCTCCAAGGGCCACGCCTTCATCCTGGTGTTCTCGGTGACCAGCAAGCAATCGCTGGAGGAGCTGGGCCCCATTTACAGGCTCATTGTGCAGATCAAGGGCAGCGTGGAGGACATCCCGGTCATGCTGGTGGGCAACAAGTGCGACGAGACGCAGCGCGAAGTGGACACGCGCGAGGCGCAGGCTGTGGCGCAAGAATGGAAGTGTGCGTTCATGGAGACCTCCGCCAAGACGAACTACAACGTCACGGAGCTGTTCCAGGAGCTGCTGACGCTGGAGACGCGCCGCAGCATGAGTCTGAGTATAGACGGCAAACGTTCCAGCAAGCAGAAGAGGACAGAGCGCGCCAGGGGCAAGTGCGTCCTCATGTGAGCACCGCCCACCCGGGGCAACTGAGGCCCCCTCCCCAGTCCCCCCGTCTGTCCATCTGTACCCACGCCGCTGCCTCTCCCGTCTCCATCCAGGCCAGCACCGCCATCCCTCTACCGGGGAAACTGAGGCCTCGCCCCCCCCCACCCTGGGCCTTCCTGTTCGTCCCTCCGTCTGTACCCACTACCCATGCTGCTACCCCTCCTGTCTCCACCCGGGCCAGCGCTGCTGCCCGCCCACCGAGGAAACTGAGAGCCCCTTCTCCCTGCCCCTTGGCCCTACCGTCCATTTGTCTGTACCTCCAAAGCCAAGTGCTGGGGTGGCCCCTTGGTTCTGCAGATGGGAAAACAGGGAAGTGACTAGATGGCTAAGTGCTGTTGGAACCCACCCAGCAGCTCTGCGGGAGAAAGGCCAGGCAATCTGCCCCCACGAAGACAGCAGAGCAGCCTAGGGGGCCCTCAGGGACAGTTCTGCTCTGTAACAGGTGTGCGGTGAGTCGGCATTGCACTCGACTGGCACTCAGGAAATCAGAAAGTGACTCAGAGTGTGGCCCCATGGGGACCACAGGAGGCCCATGTTCTCCATCTCCTCCTCTTCGGTGCCCTGCCCCCCACCAGGCTTGCACCCTGCCCCCCACATCTGATCACTGTGACTTTCGGTGGAGGGGGCGACGAGCTGAAATGCAACCTCAGATTGTTTCCTCTGTCCTGTTTGGTGTTTGACACACATCCTATTGCTGTCCCTTGTGACCTCTGGCCTGTGTCCCCGCCCCAGGTCCTGGGCCACCCTCTTGCTCCTGTCCTCACAGCTGGGGAGGGGTCTGCAGGTCACCAGGCAATAACAACAGGGCCTGCAGCAGGGCTCTGCCAGCCCTGGGTGGAGGCAGAGGGGCCCCAGACCAGCCAATAGCCACAGCACAACTCTGGGGACTCTCAAGGAGGCCTGGAGGAGCCAGGTGTGTGAGTAAGGAGACTCTTCAGCACTGCCCCCCATCCACCTGGGGACCCAGGTGGATGAGCAAGGAGGGCTCCCCAACACTGCCCCCCTGCCCTCTTGGAGACCCAGGCGTGTGAACAAGGATGCTCCCAGCACTGCCCCCCACCCACTTGGGGATCCACTGCTTGAGCTGGGACAGAGATACTGGCACAATGCGTTATCACAGACCCCCACTTGTCAGCTCTGGGGTGCTGGGGAGGGGTGCTGTGCAGAGCAGGCGATGGGTCCAGCACCCATGGCGTCTAAGGGGCTTAGGAGGGACACTGCCTGGCCTGCTCCCCCCACCTGGGTGCTCCCTCCCACCCAGAGTGGTCCCTCCACTCGGGTGCTCCCCCACCCACAGCGTTACCCTGACAAGCATGCTCCCCCCATCTGGGGTGCTCCCATCTTGAGCGATCCCAGAGAGGAGCCTTTGGGGAGCTAGTGTGCTGGGCCCTAGAGTTGAGGCGTGTCTGCCACTGGAAATTCTGGTGTCTCTGTGAGTGTCTAGATAACCTTACCCGTGTGCACTGTGGCTGATGGACTTGAGGGTCTGGGGGGTAGTGACTATAGGACAGTGGGATTGATGTGACTTGGTCTGTTCAGGCCCGAGTGGCTTGTATTTCAGTGTGTGTCTGTGGATGTACTTGTGTGTGCATATGTGTGTCTCTATGTGCAGTGTATGTGTATGCATGTGTGCACATGCATCTCTGCGTGTGCATGCGTGTCTCTGTGCAGACGTGTGTCTCTGTGTGTAGCATGTGCACGTGCTGTGTACTTAATCTTCATATATGGCTATGTATGTGTCTGTGGATGTTTGTATGTCTCACTGTGTGCATGGGTGTGTATTGTGTTTGTGTCTGTGTACTTGTATCTCTGTGTCTGTGTTTGTATGTCTGTACATGCATGTGTGTATCTGTATATATGTGTATATGCATGTCTGTGCATCTATATATATGTCTATATGCATGTAAATATGTGAACTGTATGTCTGTGTCTATAGGTGTATTCCCGTGTATGTGTTTATGTGCCTATGTGTGTGTATACTTATGTCTCTGCATATATGTCTATGTGTGTGTCTGTGTTTGCACAGACGTGTCTTTATATCTGTATGTATATATGTCTGTGTGTGTGCATGCCTGTGTGCATGTATATGTGTGTGTCTGTGTGTATCTGTGTGTCTGTGTGAGAGACCACCTTTGGTGGGGTACATGTTGGTGACAGCGTGTGTGTGTAGGTATGGCCATCAGATGTATGTGGGCATGGGCAGCGTGAGTATGTGTGTGTGACTGTCCACAGGGCTGTGTATTTGTGATGTGCCTGTGAATCTTTATGCCTGGATGGCCTTGTGACTGTAGCAACTGTCTTAGTTTCTGCCAGGGGGTGACGGTGACATCCTTTCTTTGGGAGCACCTGTTTGTTCTGAATGTCTGAGGAAACACCATGTCCATTTGACTCTAGTGTCTCCTGGATCAAAATCTATATTTGTCAGCTCTTGCTGTGTAACAAATTACCACCAATTCAGCAATGGGAAGCAGCGTGTGTGTCTCATCTTGCGGTTTCTGTGGGTCAGGAATCTGGGCGTGGCTGAGCTGGGTCCTCCACACAGGGCCTCACAAAGCTACAATCAAAATGTTGGCTGGGCCATGTTCTCATCTGAGGGCCCAGCTGGCATGGGATCCGCCTCCAAGCTCACGTGGTTATTGGCAGCATTTAGTTTCCTGTGGTTGCAAATCAGCAGATCCCAGTTTCTCGCTGGCCATTGAGTGGAGGCCGACCTCAGTTCCCTGCCAAGTGGGCCCCTGCGTATGGCAGCTCACACATGGTAGCCGGCTTCTTCAACGCCAGCAAGGGAGAGTCTCCTCGCAAGATGAGTGTTGCAGTCTTGTTGGATGTGACGTGTGTGTGAGAAAGCTGCACACAGGAACTGTGGTAGTGTGTGTGACTGCATGGCTGTGCAGTCATATGACTCTCCCAGGACTGTGTGTAGGTCAGAGAGTCTGTGTGTATCTGACTGTGGAAAGCTATGTTTGTCTTTCTTGGTGTTTGTGTGACTGTTGATTGAGCAAATGTTTACTGGGCACACTATTAGACCAAGAGGAAGCGTGTGTGGGAGTGTGACCGCCCGGTCACTGCAGAGCCTGTTGAAGGGCCAGTAGTGTCACCTCTGCACATAGCTTAGCCCCTAACCTTTGGCTGGTCCAGGGCCCTCCAGCAGCTGGGGCTCCCCCCTCCCCCTCCCGGGAGTGGTTCCTGGGCCCTGAAGGTGCTGGAGAGGGTGGGGCTTGGCAGGGGTCTGCAGCCCTTTCTCAGGGACACACCCTGATAGCACAATCCCCCTGGGGCCCACCAGCCTCCAGCCTCTCCCACCCCAGGCCCTGGGGAAGGGGTTCCACAACAGGGGGGGCAGAGCCTGCCCGGCCCCGCCCCATCACACCTGGTGCTGGGACCCGCCAGGCCTTGCTTGCTGTGCCCCCGCCCCGCCCCTCCTCCCGCATGTGGGTGCCCCTACCCCTGTCATGGGGTCTGTGTAGCATTCGCTCTAGAAATAGTCTTCCTGCAATAAAGAGATGGATCCTACAGTCCTGCTGGCCCCGTGCCCTTCTTTGAGTGGGGGTTGGGGGGCCACCGTGCCACCTGCAAAGAATAAAGGGTGGGGAGAAGGGGGCAACGAGAAGGAGAGGAGAGATGAGGTGAGAGATGCAGGAAGGGAAAGAGAGGGGTGCGGATGAGGGGTATAATGGAGAGGGTAAGAGATGGGGGTGAGGCTGGAGGAAGTGTTGCTGGAAGCGAGGGATGGAGGTGAGGGACGGGGAGGTGATACAGGAGGTGAGGGAGGGGGGTGAGGTTGGACTGCTGTGATCCCTTTCGGAGCGGTCAGCAGTGGTAGCTGTGTACCATCAGGTTCTGGTCTCAGGACTGTGAAGGCTGGGTTCACATGCTCCAGTAAGTCCTTTGGACCAATAGTTTCCATGTGTCTTTGATTTTCTTCACTCTTCTTTCCTCCGGACAAGGAGAGACCAATAGTTACAACTTATCCTTCATTTTTAATTCTTTCTTCTGCTCATTCAGTTTTCATTCATTCATTCACTTGTTTGTTCATTCATTACTCATTCACTTGGTAGGTAACAGGCGTCAGCTGTGCACCAGGCCCCCTCCGGAAGTTGGGGAAACAGTGATGGCTAACACAGACCTCAGCACCTTTGCCCTCACATAGCACATAGCCTTTTGGGTGAGACAGTCCCTCCACGAAGAATGGAATCATCATTTCAGACACGCACCCCCTGCAGGAACGTGGGTGGGAGTCCAGATGGCCAGGGGAGCCCATCTGATCCAGGAGGTAGAGTAGCCACCAGCCCCAAGAGGATCTGAGGCAGGAACACCAGGCAAGGGAAATAGCTCATGCAAAGGTCCTGGGGCAGGAGCCATCTGAGTTGCAGGAGTTGCAGGAGACTCTGAGAGGGCCTGGGTGGTGGCCAAGGAGGCCAGAGAGGGCAGCAGGGGCCTGGTAGGCAATGGGAAGCCTTTGGACTTTAATAATGAGGGCACTGGGGCATCATGGGAATGTTCAGTGCTTCTCAACTGCCCCATGATCCTCATAAAAGAACTGCTGCTAGACCCTATACTTAACTGCAACCAGCTGTGGGGAGTGGGAGGGCACTCAAAGCCCCTTCTTACAAGGGGAGGAACCCACAGGCCTATCTTCCCATCTGTGCAACTGTGAGTGTGTGGTTTGGTGTCTGAGGTATCAGGGTCCCTGGAGGCAGGGTAGGGTAGTGGTTAGAGCACACTCTCAGGCACAGGTGGAAAGATGGTAGAATCCTAGCTCCAGCTAAGGGATCACATGTGAAAAGCATGCAACGTGCACCTGGCTGTGAGCACACACACCCTTTTTTTTTATCCAGGGAATAATGGCCTGTGAGACACCTTTTCTTGGGAACACCTCTTATGTAGTGGTCAGGCTCTCAGTGTGTGTTAATTATTACCAGAGTCAGGGTTGGGATGAGGTGACTGAGGTGATTGCCTTG